TTGCGGAGTCTCGGCTGCGAGCCTTGCTTCCGGACTTCCGGACTCTTTTGTACCTTGCCTCGGTTTGCGAACCAGGTCCCGTTTTCTCTGTTTTCTGTTCCCAAAGGGAGGAAGAGGTCTCGTAGATCATCTTTCAGTGGCTGTAGGCTACGTTTTGTGGTCGTAGGCCATTTTTCCCATTTGGAGCCCGGTTTCTAGTTTTTCGGAGCCGTCGGCCGTATGCCTCGGTTCGGGACCGCTTAACCACCTCCGTTTGCTCCGGTTTTTGGCATACACCTTATTTCCTCCCTTTTGAGGGACACTGTGGTCCGAGAGACCAACTTCGTGGTCGAACACCACTTCCGGTGCCTAACAGCCTATTTTCGGGGCCCTGAACTGCGTGTTTCGGGCCCCGAACCTCCGTTTTGCATCCGTCTTGGTTCATTTTTGGTGGAGACCTTATTTTCATTGTTAAAAAGGTTTTAGGAGAGTGGGAGGCTAGCAATTTTTCTGAAAAACCAGCTTTTTTTGGTCAAAAGTGATTCAGCATGAATCCGGGAAGGAGGAAAACATCTGCGCGGCTTCACCAAAATGGGCATAACTCTTTGCACAGGAGGAATTAAGATATGGGGCCACCACCGTTGGAAAGATTACTTCCGGGGCTTCATTTTACACTCAAGAATATCCTAAGGAAAAGTCCGAACGGGGGAGATATGGTTGGTTGAAGTAGGGTATCAATCCGGTTGGACCGAATCTGCACGGCTTCACGGAAACTGGCATAACTTTTTCCACAGGAGGAATTTTAATGCAAGGTTTGCAGCATTAGAAAGCTAACTTCAAGGGCTACATGGCCGACCAGTTTAGGGCTTGAACCTTTTGACCCCTGGTCGGCCGGCCACATAGACTGGTCGGCCTACCACCTTGCCTGGTCGGTTGACCACTTTGGCCCTTTTGAGCTGGCCAGCCATTCTTGCCCCTGTGAGTGTATTCCAGCTGTGCCAGCTATTCTGCACTTGACCCACTGTCCGAGGGGCTCCCCTTTTGGGGGAAAATTTGAATTGTTTTTTCCCCCCTTTTCCCTTGGCCTCTCTCCCTCTATAAAACCAACACTTGAGCTTCATTTCTAGGGGTTAGAGATTTTTGCTAAGGCACACAACCATCTTCCTCCATAGCTCTCCCTTCCAAGCTCTAAAGTCCCTTATCCTTGGCCATTTACACACCAACTCATATCCTACCACCTCCCTCATCCATTCCAGCCCCTTGAAGCTGATTTTCAGAGGTTGAGAGCTCACATTCTTGGACCAAAAGCTGCTGGAGGTTGGCTCTACAAGGGTAAATCACTATCTCCCTCTTTTGGCCTTATCTTGTATCATATCTTAGTCTTATTTGCAGGCATTTTTGGGCTCCGACCTGAACTGTAAATAGTCATATTTTGAGCTCCTCTTCATATTTGATCAAGGACTTTTTGCTGTTTGAGGCCTTCTCCTCACCCTTTGTGTTTAATCTCTCTTTTAGGCGTATTTTTGCATGGTATTTTAGCCTTATTTTTGAGCTGTTTTGGACTTGGTCATAAACTGTAAAATGTCTTTTTTTTAGCCCCTCTTCAACTTTGTTGAATGGATCTCCTCTGTTTGAGGCCAGCTGCTACCACTTGTCTCTTTATCCCTCTCTTAGGCCATTTTCTTGCATGTTGTTTTAGCCTCACTTGTGTTTATTTTAGAGACTTGATATAAACTGTAAAGTGCCTTTTTTTGAGCCCCTATTAAACTTTGTTGAAGGGCTCTTTGCTATTTGGGGCCAGCTTCTGTCCCTTGTCTCTAATCTCTCTTTTAGGGCCATTTTTGCATAATAGATTAGCCCTATTTGTGTTCACTTTTGAGATTTTATACAAATTGGAAAAAGTCTCATTTTGACATCATCTTCATGTTTTATTAAGGTCATTTTCTTGTTTGAGGTCATATGCTTCCTTGTATGCTTGATTGTCCCTTATTTTGAGCCTTACACCTAAGCTCTTGTTGCATGCTTGGTTTGGCATTCTAGCCACTAAAATCCAGTGGATTTTCAGTGGCTAGAACACTGCTTTGAGCGTCCAAATCAGAGGGGGGTGACCCCCTCTCACCTTGACTTGTTTGGTGGTCATTTTGGCCTTCCAAAGAGGCCCTATCTTGCATGCTTTGTTGATTGATTTCAGGGACAATTTGGTGAGTTTTAGGGCTACCATATTTTATTTGCAGAGTTTTTTATGCCATGCTAAGTGTCCACCTTGTATGTGCTTAATAACCCCTTGTATGCCCTTCCAAAGGAGCCCCTCGTTTGTGCATGTGTTGGCTACATTTCCATGGTTATTTGGGCATATTTTCACATGTTTTATTCACTGATTTTTTCTGGTTTGATAAAATTCCATGTGCATCCTATACTTGCCATATAACTCATGTTTGCTAGCCAATCCTGCATGCTATTTTAGTCCATCTTGCTAGCACTTTTTGGCCATGCTTTGAACTAGAAATGTTCATGTTTTGGGACTGTCTTGGCTCTGTCTTTATACTTCATAATCAAATAATGCATTCTTTGTATAGCTATAAGTCATTCCATGTGCCTAGTTTCGAGTTTCGGGGTTCATCTCATGCATCGGGTGCCATTTTTCCATGTTTCGGGGCTGTTTAGCATCATATTTCAGTGCCGGAATTTATGAGTTTGTATGCCATCTTGCATCCCTTGCCATGCCTTGTTAGAGTTGCATGTTATGCCTAGGATCGGTCCTCGGTTTGCGTGCATGTGTGCACGCATTTCGAGTGTCTCATTCTCACCTAATGGCTACTGATGTGAGTGTGGCTGGGTCCACTCTATGGTGTAAGTTCCATTTCTTGTGTATTGTCATTCATTTCGACGCTTGGTTGGTTATGTTAGAGCATGTTGTATGCCTCGTTACATCGTGCATTGGTGTATGCCATTTCATAGCATTGTGTTGTAGGTTTTGCATGTTAGGATTGCATTCATGCATTGCATGCATTTGCATAGTGCTGGGATAGGAGTTAGCCACGCACGGGAAACGAGGTACGTTTCGTACTCCGATGACGGAACGTGTCTCCTTCCTGGTCGACACTCCGGTATCCATGATGGGTCTAGGTCTTGTTGTGTTTATATGTGCATTCATTTCATATTGAGTCGTGCAATTCGATCCTCGGCCATCATGGATTGAGATGCGTGATTGGTGCACGAGGATCGAGGACCTACTCCCTAAAGAGATCATGTACATATGTGAAAATACTTTGCCATGCCTCTTTGTTGCTCGTTGTAGCAAATCAGAATCAGCGGCCTTTCGGAGCTTGGCACGCTTCAGAACATTGCAAACGAGGCAAACCGGGGCATCACAAGAGATTTTCAAAATGCAACCTGAGCATGCTCATTCATCTTCGAACAAAGCTGAGCGATCCACATTTACGTGCCATTTATTCTTCTTAGTTTAATTGTTAATTAATTAGGGTTTTGATTATTTTGGACCTTATTATTCATTTGGGACTGTTATTATTATTCGGTCCTCGAGGGCACAACTGTAATAAGTGTGCGTGTATATGATGTATGTCTTCCAACCTAACGTCTTTCTCCCTTTTTTTACGCAGCTTATGATGGTTAGTTAGGCATGTTTCAATTGCATACAGTATGATGGCATGTTTGCATTCATTCATCTGTTTTGCCTGCACCGGGCTCGGCGCATCATACTAACTGCATTGTATTTCAATTCTGAGTTGAATATTTTGGTTGTAGCTTTCGGCATGCCTTTTGAATAGCCAAGCTATCTTAGTTGCTTTGCTCTGCATTAGGTATTTTCTGAATAGTTAGATCATGCTAGGATTTCTCATTAGCTTCTGTTTTTGCTTGGAGTACTCGTAAGTTTTATGCTTTAGTCTCTTTGCACGCGTGTGAGGTACTGCCATGATAGCCTGCTTCACATGGATATTGTTGTGTATACCTGCTGAATGCCTGTGGGTGAAGGTTGGGTTATTTGAGTTGGAGCAATTCGTTAAATGTGTGTTTTTAGCCACTAGATGGTGGCAAAATCATGTTTTTTTTCTAACCCACCGAGGGTGGCAAATCCATGTCTTAGCTACTTGCGTAGCACCATCACCACTTTTTAAAATAAACAAACATAAATGTTTTGTTCCAATTCAGGCGACCCAGTCTATACTTGTATTTGTGCACATCACATAGTAAATCTCCTAATAACCGGAATAAGACACATAATGTTTTCAATACTAGTATATGGTTGAGAGGCGATTTGCTGGCGACCGGGGTTGCTCACGAAGTGACCTTTCCCAATCGTACCCAAGTTCCCGAGCCGAGGCAACTTTGGTGATCACGGACACGTGGCCTTAGGCAACGAGTCAGGGTTTCCTAAATTTCCCTAAAATAAAACATTTAGGTGGCGACTCTGTATCTGGCAAAGTAGTCCATGTTTGGCACTTCTTTACAAAAAATCTGTTTTCAAAAACGATTTGCCAGATTTGGACTTTTTGGTTCAGATTGAGAACCGTGACAATTTGAGAGTCTGAACTGTAGTGAGCCCAAAACGAACAGAACGGGACTCATCCTCCCGGGGCGTTCGGGGACGTCTACAAAGATATTATTCGATTTCATAGGGATGATATTGAAGCTGAGGTTATTCCAAATAAAACAAAGAGAGATAGTAGAGATGACGAAGAAGATGAAGAACTTGGCATACTTGATAATGATATGGATCTTGATATGGAACCTGATATGGATTATGATATGTAGTTTTTGTTTTTCTTAGATTTCTATATGGACATATGTTTTAATGCATTACATGGTTATGCTATATTTTGTTGCGTCTCTTCAAGTAAAATTATGCTTTATATTTTATGTTTTATATCAATTTATGCTTTTTAGTTACCAAAATGGCCAAAGGGGAGAAACAATGGATCAAACCAAGTTTTCTAGCGAAACAGAAGTGAACAGAGTACGAAGTGGAAAGATATAAGACAATCAAGAAGAATAATAAGAAAATGGATGCTCTACAATTGAAGCGTATAGCAGCTTCTTTGATGGGTTCTACTCAGCCAAATTGTGTTAATCAGAAGGGAAAGAACATTAGGGTAGATGATGATGACTACATACCGTTAGATCATGAGGATGACACTGATGCTGAGTCCTTTGAAAGTGTTGACGATGAGGTGCTATATGTATGGCCATTGATTTTTTTTATTATGTCATCGATAGCTATATATTTGTTAATGATGCTTTGTTAATACTATCTTTATATTTCCGTATACTTTATTGGAAGAATAAGTCATAAAATAAAACTAGAAAATATACATCCTACATACAACAATATGCATGCCAAAACAAATCGTAGGAGTAAGTTAGCTGGAACACAAATGTATAATGAAATAAGACATAATTTGACCATGTTAGAAACACCAATACTAGCATTAGCGCATGTGTGCAGCCTGACCCTCATAATATCAGTAATACACATGCCAAACTGATTGATCACCAACTTCACCACAGCATGAACTACCTACCAGAGGGATTCAGCAAGTCTAGGACTGTTGCTGGAACTGGCGCAAGATGCAGCCTGGTCTACTAGACAACCTCCATAACATCAACTTCAGTGTTCAAACTAGGACTATCCAATAGGGAATTCCATGGAGAATGGCCCCTAGCTGTAGCCAGATTCTCCAGGTTGCCTCCAGGTTGCCTCTCCCTCAAACTATTTATATGCTCACAGATACTCAACCCACTTTCCATAAGAAGAGGCCAGATTGACAACTTGCAAAGCACATAATTAGGAAAAACCAATTAAAAGATTAGAATTACTGGTAGCTCACAACCATTCAACCGCTCAACCACTCAACTTGCCTACAGATTTTTGAGTGACAACACCCTTTACCTGACCATTTTAAAAATATTCAAAGCAACCACTTGTCAGGACCAGTCTTGGGAAGAAAAGGAGTGGACTGGATCAGATTACAAATATCAACAGTGGCCTTGGTGAGTTTCCATATACATATCTTTACTTATCCATTTTTATGTATTTATTGTTTATGCTTTTATATTATGTTTTTTAGGGCTTACCAATGCCACCAAAACGATTGACGCAGTCATCTCTTCAACCTTCGCACGAGGCAATTGTTGTTCCAAATGGGGATTTACATGACAATGTGGATACCAAACACTCACAGCCACTTGATGTCGATATGGAGGCACCGAGGGAGGTAGCCCCCCAATCTAGTGTCGGTAAGATACTGAATTTTACTAAGCTAAAGAAATCCTCTGTTTTAATATAATTCTATGGTGCAAAAAATTTCAAGCAATTTGTTTCATGGGGTTTGATTTTTTATTTTTATTTTTAGCTGTAAAAAGTGCTGGGGTATACCCTAGTTTAACTCTTGTAAGTTTTGTTTTGTTCATACATACATACATACATACATATTACCTTCTGTCAAAATGTCTACTTATTCACTTGTGCTACAGTTCATGATTAACAATTATTTAATTTTTTAAACTATCAAGACTGTTCAATTTTAAACTAAAATATCATTTCTAGGTTCTTATATAGTTGCTTTTAAAGATGTTTTGACATTATTTTGGATGGCATCTCACATTTGTTTTGACAGCCTTTTAAATTTGAATTGTAAACATTTTTTCAAGATTGGCTGATTTGAAAAATTTCAGAGACTTCATGGTTGTGCTTTTCCTTTCTCACGTTGTTTTCTCGTTCTCACAGTTATATTTGTTCTTCCGTTTTCTTGTTTCTTTAATCTTTCCTACCCCTATACTTAGCCTTTTTGAGCTTCCAAAACTAAAAATTCGAAAAAGTGAAAACCAAACACCTATACTTTTTCAAAATACAACTTCTTAAGCACTTGAATTTAAATTTTAAGCTAAATAAATGCAAATAAGTAAAAACAAGGTTAGTTTTCAAGCATTCCTAGTTCTTTGAACAAAAACAATGAATAAGGAAAAATTATTGAATACAATAAGGGTATGCCCAACATTGTCACGTGGTAGTACTCTTCACCAATTATTAATTGCCACAGTGGACACACTAATGAGTGTATTAGTGTTAGATGCCAAAAATTAGCTAATTATGATTAGTGTTAGTGATACTGTTAAGAACAAATTTTGATGTCAAATGTTACAAGACTTGTTAACTATGGCGAGGCCACTAACAAATGAGAGAGGGAGAGAGAAAAAGAGGGGAATAGCAGAGGAGCACACTTTTTATATTATATTATTTATTTATTTGAGGGGAATAGCAGAGGAGCACACTTTTTATATTATTTATTTATTTATTTTATCTATTATATATATATATATATATTTATATATCCTTAACACATCCATTGCACCATCATTCACTATCTAAATTAACAACACACATGTTTTGGTCTCACTTTTAATTTTTTGTCATATAACACACAAAGTTAACATCTCTATTGGAGATGCTCTTAGTTTTCAAGCATTCCTAGTTCTTTGAACAAAAACATTGAAGAAAGAGAAATTATTGGGTATAGAAAAGGGTATAGCATGACATTGTTATGTGATAGTACTCGTCACCAATCATTAATTGCCACCTTTCATGCTATTAGACAAACCATTAATGTAAATGGGATAAGCGATAAGCCCTATCCTGTAAACCAAACTTAATCAAAGAAGGCACCATGTGACAATACTTTGGTACCCAATAATTGCACGTGAGAAAAATCAAAGAATTGACGTGGTAGATGAAACTCTCTCTTACCCTATGTGATACCCAGATTTGAGTATTATGACTAAGCTGGGTAGTTGCTTCTTTCTCTATTTGGTTCCTACAAATTTGAAAAAACAACAAAAACAAAAATAAAAACAAAAACAAAAAAAATAACAGTGGTAGAGGATTGAAAGCAACAGATTATGGCTAGGAGTGGTAGAAGTCCTTCCGGACGTTCTAGAAACTCAAAGCAGGTTGTGATAAAGATGTGGCATCTGATCCATTGCCATTGTTGTTGCCATTGCAGGTTATGTTTAATGAAATAGATTGTCATCTACTTTTGCTGAAAGTGCAAGAATTTGTTGAACTAGGGAAAAATAAAATGATAAAAACACTTCATATTTGCTTCAAGTGTTGTTATGGGGAGGCTGACATTTTGGAGTTTCTGTTTTCTCACACAAACAAAAGCTTTACGTGGTTTCATGTTAAACATGATTTAATCAGAATTATGTCAATAAAAAGAAAATGATTTAATCAGAATTTGTGGGTAAAGGCCAGTAGTGATGAAGTGTTTTTTTTTTTTTTAATTATTATTAAGGATTTTCTTTGTTTGGTAGTTGAGAAAATGTGAGAAAGAGGGGAAATAGAAAAGAAATAAAATGTTGTCCTTTTGTGCCATCTTGCTACTACAGTTTCTAAGAGAGTGAAAACCTTTCCAATAGTTTCCATTGTGCTTAATTGGATGAAAATATCTGTCTGCTTCTGTCTATGAAGTTGTGGAATTAGTTATTGAAGAATCTGAAGACCAAAATTTTGATTTCATTTCTTTGCTCATATTGAATTTTTTTCAGGAGAAATTGTTGGGCTTTTTACGTGAATTGCTTGTTGGGTTGCTTCGTTTGTGATGAGGATTTACTGGGTGGTAATGACTTAATGCACTTGAGGATTTTGCTAACTGAAGAACTGGACCTCGAAATTTTTCGGACTTTAATCTTTAATTGTTGCCTTGCCTTTGTTGTACTACACTGTAATACATTTTTCCAAGTTGTAGTTTTTGTTTAAATGCTTAAATTTAGAACACTATTGTGATATGCTCAAATTTCATATTTGCTATGTTGGATCCCAGATGGGAGTAGGCTTGTAAAATATGGGTTATGTGAAATCTTAGGTTAAATTGTGTAGCCAAGCTTGCGATATTGGTTTAACAGCATAAAGGCTAGGGTATACCCCAGCATAAAGGTCCTCACTAGGGTAATCACAGCCAACCTTGAGCCCAAAAAATTATGCAATTTGTGGGTAAAGAACACTTCATCACCACTGATGGAAGCACCCAAGGTACTGAAATTGTGGTGAGAGTAGCTGAACTACTTACCAAAACAGAGAAGGATACTAGTGCTCTATATGAGAAACAGAGAAGGAGACTAGTGAATAGAAAGCAATAGCAGTACAGAAAAGAATCAGCGCCTGCAGCAACTGCAGAACAAAACAGCAGCTGTATAGGAGAGACTGAATAGAAACAAAGAGTAGGGAAGAAATTGGCAGTAACAGAGAAGAACGAAAAAGCTGCAGATGTAGGAAAGAGTGAAGAAACAAGAAAATGGAATAGCAAATATAACTGTGAAAAAGAGAAAACAACTTGAGAAATGAAAAGCATCAACTTGAGAGTAGGGAAGAAAGCTGCAACTGTACCTGTGTGGCTGCTGCTAGTGCTGTTTGTGTAGGGCTTTTCTTGGGTTTATTTTCTAGTTTTGCTTGCTTTTTCTCTCTTGAGGGTTGTGCAAGTGTATTTTGTGTTGTTTTTGGCTAGTCTATTGAATGTTCATAGCCTTTTTTTCCTCATGTGGCAAATGAACATTCTTTTGTGTGGTGTATTTTAGGATGATTCTCTTTATAGTTTATTTAGTTTAGTTTATCTGTTTGGTTTTGTTTCTCTTTTATAGCTCTAGTTTTTTTTGTTTGGTGTTGTAAGGCCTGGGGAATGCCCCTTGTATGTCTCTATATGTTACCATTTTATTTTATGACTTACTAAAAAAAAAAAAAGTTACTTATATTGCTTTTATGATTTCGCTTTAATTAATTACTAACCAGTCAATGTTATGTCTTTAAAACAGTGCCTAGTAGACACCCTCGTGGCTTGGCACGTGGGTTGAAGGTTCAAGCAATGGTTCAAAAAGATGGAAAGCTCAAAGTTCCCATACCACAGGAGTATCGTGCGCCAGTGGGGGATCATGCTTCTTAATTAATCTCCAAAATTGGTGTTGAGGTCCGAACACACTTGCCAGATTTTAGCATTCGCAGGTGGAAACATGTCAACGAAGAAGTTACGGCACCTATGTTTCAGCGTCTAACTGTAAAAGTTTTACATAATTGATTGAAGTAATGTAATATAATTAATTATGACTTACAAGATTTGTGGTTGTTGCTAGGATCAATTTGACATGGAAGGCGACTCCACAAATGTTAGCAAAGCGATGGCAACAAAGTGTGGACGGAGCTTGAGCAGCCACAACTACAGACTACGAAAAAAATACCTGAACCTTAAAAGTGCTAAGGGAGAGGAGTATGCTAGAAGCCAGCCACCGCCTGAATGTGACCTCGAGAAATGGAAAAACTTGATTGACAAGAAGTGGAATGATACCAATTGGCTGGCAAACTTTTCTTATGTTTATTTATTGTTGACAATTACCTTGTCTTCCTAATATATATATTTTTCTATTGGAACTTACTCCTTGTAGAAGCACTCAAATGCTAACATTGACAATAGAAATCAATTGAAGACGAAGCATAGGTGTGCGTCAAAATCTCTCCCAGTTAGGGTACACGAGGCGGTGGGTCTTCTTTAATTTTTTTTTCCGTTTTTTGTTTTTTTTTTTAAAGATGATTCTACTACCATCCTTCTTATTTAACTTACTAGTTGAACAAAAAAAATTAGACAATTGCAAATTGGGGCCAACTACCAGAGTTGCCATGTGTTTACAAATCTACACACTTTAATGATGTCACAAAGTAGTGGATTTCTCCGAAATGCGAAGAGAATTATGTATGTATATTTACCTTTTGTATTAGGATGATTGCAATTTTAATTGTATCTTTATTCATTTTTCTATTTTTTTTAAATGACAGGATAATATGATAAAGATCCAAATTGAACATTGCTCCCAACCTGGTGTGGTTCCAATTACTCCGGAGGAGCTATCTGTGAAGGTGCTGAAGCCAAGGTCGGGATATGTTAAAGGACTTGGGTTGAGGTGTTCCTTCTCTGTCAGGACTACCAGTGCTTCGACTAACAGTGACTATGTGAGGCGTCTAGAGATGGAAATACAAGAGCAAAAGGAGGAAATTCAGTCACAAAAAGAGGAAATTACAGCACAGAAACATGAAATTCAAGTACAAAAAGAGGAAATTCAAGCACACAATAAAGAGATAGGGAAGATGAATGGGTCGATTGACGAGCATTTTGAGATCACATCAAGCATCATGGAGTTTCTTAAGAAGCAAGGTTTCAAAGGACAATTTAGAGGAGGAGGTATCCCATGAACTCCTACATCACCTTTTTGGTAAGTCTCACTCGTTTTATCATTTTATTTTTCTCATGTTGGTTAGTATATACTAGTTAAAGTACAGCAGTTTGACTACTTATTAACTAAGATTTAACAAGTTTGAAGATGTATTTAATGAAAATAGATTCATTATCAAAATTCTTACTTAGCATGACCCTAGTTAATACACACTAACCAAAGTAGAGACAAAACTATGTGTTTACTTTTTTGCGTATTTTTGCTAGGCAGTGTTGGGAGTTGCTCTAAGTTAGTGATGTGATTAATAATGGGTGTGTCTTTGATTGAGTTTTTCATAGTAGAAGAAATGAATGAACATTTATTGAGTCTCAGACAGTGGGTTAGTCAGGTTTGTATATCACTTTATGATTGCTGCTGTTTTTATTTGCTTTAATTTTTCTTTTGGATTGTATTGCTTTTTTGAACACCATGAAACAGCACTTGAACTTATTAAAAACACGTAACCAGATGTACTCTTTCTATATTCAATATCTCCGGCATAGTCGCTATCTGTAAACGCCAACAACTCACCATCTCCTCCTTTCTTATAATGAATTCCATAGTTCACAGTCCCTTTTAATTATCAAAGTGCTCTCTTAGCTTCCTATAGATGAATTTCCATTGGTTTTGCCATATATCTACTTATGAGACAAGTAACAAACATCATGTCCGGTCTCGTGGTAGTGAGATACATTAAACTACCCACCAGCTGCTTGTAATACGTCTCATCAACTAAGTCTCCATTTCCGTCTGCTTATTTTGAAACCTGGAACTATTGGACTGCCCACCGAATTACTTTCCATCATACCAAACCTTCTCAAAACCTCCAATGCGTATTTCCTTTGGTGTATATAAATACCATCCGAATTTTGTAGCACCTCGATCCCAAGAAAAAACCGCATCTTCCCCAAGTCAGACATATCAAACTCTCTTAACATAGAGCTTTTAAATTTAGACATCATAACTTCATCATTACGAGTAAAAATTAAATCATCAACATAAACACTTATAATGATAATTTTTCCTTCTCGGCTTCTCTTTGTGAATAATGTCTGCTCACTATCGCACCTCCGAAACCCTTCACCAATGAAATGTGCTTCGATTCGACTAAAACAAGCTCGTGTAGCTTGTCTTAATCCATACAGGGCTTTGTGTAACTTGTAAACTAGATGCTCACTGCCCTTTTTTTTTCATATCTCTTGGCTACTCCACATAAACTTCTTCACTCAACTCACCATGGAGAAAAGCCGACTTGACATCCAGTTGAAAAATCGTCCAATTCTTCTGTGCAGCTAGAGCAATAATCATCCTTACTGTATCTATCCTTGCCACTGGTGCAAAAACTTCTGTATGGTCCACTCCATACTTCTGAGAGTACCCTTTATCAAGGGAAAAAATTCGACAAAAATTGGAAGAAGACAAGGCAGAAAGAAGACGGAAGCTTGGATTGCCACCAGAAGATCTTGATACTGCAATGCTTTCTGCACCTGTTGTGGAGGAAAAGAAGAGCTCATTGCCAGTCAGGCCTGCCACAAAGGCAGAACAAATGAGAGAGTGTCTACGATCTCTCAAGCAGAACCATAAGGATGACGAGGCCAAAGTGAAGACGACATTTAATACGCTTTTAACTTATGTGAAGAATGTTGCGACAAATCCCAATGAGGACAAATTCCGTAAAATTAGACTCACTAATGCCACCTTTCAAGGTAGAGTTGGTGCACTGCAACGTGGAATTGAGTTTATTGAGCTGTGTGGGTTTGAGAAAATTGAAGGAGGTGAGTTCTTGTTTCTACCCAGAGATAAAGTTGATAGAGCAGTGCTGAACTCAGCTGGGACCGAGTTGAATAATGCGATAAGTAATCCTTTCTTTGGGGTTCTCTAATCCCAACTTTTTGTTGAAAATGCATACACTGTAAACATGAGGTTTGTTTTTCATATTTCATATAAGTTTTAGTTGAAATACATCCATCATTGTCAACTTTGTTGTGATGACTAGGACTGAGGGGTTTGTTTTACTTTATACATGGATGCAAATTAGCATAAATAAGAAGGCATTGAGGGGGCTTCAATGGTACAACCCAAAAGTCTTACAAGGTTCTTGTGTTGAATTCCACCGATCAAATTTACCTCATTGAAAAAGTCATCGGCCCATTGTCGTGAATCAAATGTACCTTAATGCTACGTTATATTTTGGAGGTATTATATATATTCTGCCATTAGTGATAGTGATATATGGTATTCTTGAGATCTTTTGTCATCTTATGTTATCCGTGTTGCTTTATCATCAAGGATCACGTCAAATCTTTGAAGTTTTGAATTGTTAAATGCATTTCTACTAAATTGGTTTATAAAATAAAATTATTTATATATGAGTTTAGATGTAATTGATAATATATTAATGTTTGCCTTGTTTATTTTTTTTGCAGATTGGTTTTGATGACGTTCGGAAGCATACTTGCAAATAAAGATCAACTGTTGAATTTTTTTTCCTAAATTGATGCTTAGTTGTAGTTGCAAATCAAGATTGAGTATTGATTTTTTTTTGTGGACTCCACGTTAGTTCATTTTGGGATTTGCTTTGATGGTTTTTTTGTGATACTTAATGGATTATTATTAAAGTTGTTTGATGGATATATTTTGATTTATAATATAAATTGTTTAGTGAATTTTTTTGTGGAGTGATGTATAATAGCTAGTGGATTTCTTAGTACAATTAAAAAG